TAGAAGAGAGGGGATGGGAGATTTGGCAAGTGTTACTTGAGGGTATAAACATTGATATTTGTTCGTATCTCATAAAAAGATGAGCAAGTAGGGAGTGATATGATCTGCTGAAAAAGATGGTCTAGAGTAGTGGTCACAGGAGTTGGTTCCAGAACCAAGAGAGTTCAAATTCTGACTCCCCCTCTTTGCTGCTCAACCATAGGAAAATTTCCTGACTTCCCTGAGTCTCAGATTCCTCATCCATAAAAACAGATATGCATAGTCCCTACCTCATAGGGTTATTCTGATGATCAAATTAAAATAGTTTCAATAGTTTCTAGTTCATAGTAAGTGCTTTAAAAATGTTATTTTTTAAGAGTCATAAAGGACCTGGATAAGAGGAGGAAAAAATAGGATTCATAAATATTTTAGTACCACTAGAAATATTTTATTGACTATCATCTGCTGATTGCTATATGCCAGAGATCTCATTCAATCTCCCAAGACCCCTAGGAGATAAAGTTACTATTAATATCCCTTCTTTTCAGAGAAAGAATCTGAGCATCTTAGAGATTGGGTTTCATGCCCAAGGACATTCAGATAATGAGTGTGGTACATTCCCCTGAGAAGTCATATCTATGAGCCTGTTTTCCAGTATGGATGGCACATATGGGCCCCTGTCACAAAAGTCCATCAAAAACAAAGAGGGCATCGGGTGGATGGGGGGAGCTAAGGGAGCCTGAGTGTCTTGCCCTTCACTTTCATCACACGTCCAGAGCCTGTCCATCACCTGCGTCCTCTGTGAGAGCCCAGACCCCTGGGTTTTGCTGGCTTGCCATTTTGTGGGTGCCACACTGTCCGGGCATTCAGAAAACAAGGCACTAGGGCATGATGGCTACAAGTGGGTCCTAGAGTCGGATGCCTGCATGTGAATCTCAGCTCTAGCACTCACTAGCCATGTGACTGTGAGCCCCATGTTTTTTAGCACCACTTGTCTTGTAGGATAAGTAGTTTTCTTGGTCTGGGGAAGAAACTACAAGCCTTAATCTTATTTTACTTTAAAGAGATATTTATATTTAGCCCAAATAATATTCTTTTATTAACATAGCTCTTTTATTTTAAGAGGTTAAAATAGGTTGGATTTTGGACATTCATTAAACATGTTATGTAATACATGAGCAGTTTTATAACAATAAATTAGTACTCCCATAGAAGTGGTAGTACCAACTAGAAATAAGGCTAGTGGAAATCTTCAGAACCTAAAATTGAATCTGTCTGTATTCTGTATATGACCTTCCCCCTGTTCACATACAGCCTAGGATCTTATTGAAGAGATGGGATGAATGTCTGTAAGGTAAATAAAAATCCCAGGTAGTGTGTGCTCAGTGCCACATAAGTGTTATAGCTGTGTTACATTTATTGAGAACCTACACTGTGCTAGGCAATGGAGATAGGACAGAGAATAAGACACACTCCTACAAAACACTGGGCAAATGGGATTGTCCATCTGAGAAAGCTGAGAACCCAAGTCAGGTGTTCAGAGGAGACCATGGTCCTTCCACAAATGTAGCATTTATGTAACATTTTTTTATCCCCCTTGGAATTGCTCTAAAAGGATGACTGAGCTAGAGGCCCCTGGCTGCAATAGAGTAGTTCCTTCTTGAGCTTAGTGTGGCCAGATGTTAAGTAGCAAGTGAGGTGTTGTCAGTGTAACTGACAAATGGAGAGACAGGCTCAGCACAAAGTGTGGATGGAATAAAATGGTACAGGCTTTTGAGGTTCATTTTACATAAGAAAATGTCATTCCTCATTCTTGGATAATTGGACTGAATAAATGCAATATATGTCATTATATATGTATATATTTTACATAGTCACAAGTTGTGAAATTGGTATCCTTTGGCTTCAGAGACCTTATAAAATAATAAGAGGGGCATGAGATATCAGTGAAACATAAAGCTTCACAACATTTTAATATCAGTTCAAATAATGAAGGTTGTCTATGAGCAGTACTACTTGCCATGTGGGTAAGTCACACAATTAAGGCTGATTTCAAAAGAGGTAATGCTCTTTCTCTTGCAGTTTTCATAGAATTCTTAGTAGAGGAAGGGGAGATATGAGCTAGAACTAAAGAGTGTATACAATGTATACAAACAGAAATAACTGTCCTAGCCTTAATCTGGTGTATTAGTGTTCATTTAATTATTAAAAAAAAAAAAAAAAGGTTCCAAAGGCTAAGAATAAGCATTTTTAAGAAATAGAAGGGGAAGGGATCTCAAAGGAAGCCCCTGTTAACTGTAGTAGTGATGGATGGGAGCTGTTTAGTAACAGGTTTGAGATGGTACTGAGAGGTGGTGGCTGAGGCCATGCTCTTGGGTCACAGACAATTAAAGGCACATCCCAATGTGTTACTCATTGTCCTGTGACTTCTGCCAACCTGTTTTACCCACTGGGCATCCTCCACAGTACCTTTGGTCTAGGTGCTCCTCAAAGGATCACAAAAATGTTGGAGATGTGGAATGCATGCTCTGCAAAACCAGATTTAATATATAGGTAACAAAAGCCATATTATAGTCTATAATCCAACCCAGTCTTATTCAATTATTGTATTAGGTAGGGTTCTTCAGAAAAACAGAACCAATATGGATCTACATGTAGGAAGAGATTCGTTTTAAGAACTTGGCTCATGTCATTATAGAAGCTAAGAAGTCCCACGACCTGCTATGTGTAAGATGGAGACCCAGGGAGGCTAGTGGCATAATTCAGAGTGAGTCCCAAGGCTTACTAAGAACCAGTGGTCAGTGGTGTAGATTCCAGTCTGGGTTTACAAGGAGTGTTGAGGGCAGGAGAAGATTGATATCCCAGCTCAAGCAATTAGGCAGGAAGGGCCTAATTCTTCCTTCCTCCACCTTTTTTTTTGTAAAGATTTTTTTTTTTTAATTTATTTGACAGAGAGAGACACAGCGAGAGCAGGAACACAAGCAGGGGCAGAGGGAGAGAGAGAAGCAGGCTTCCCACGGAGCAGGGACCCAATGTGGGGCTCGATCCCAGGACCCTGGGATCATGACCTGAGCCAAAGGCAGACGCTTAATGACTGAGCCGCCCAGGCGCCCCATTCCTCCACCTTTTTGTTCTATTCAGGCCCTCAACGGGATTGGCGGATGCCCACCTGCACCGGGGAGGGCCATCGGCTCTGCTACATCCACTGCATCACATGCCACTCTCATCTGGAAGCACCCTCAGAGACACACCCAGCAACCATATTTAGCCCAATATCTAGGTACCTCATGATCCAAGTCAAGTTGACACATAAAATTAACCACCACATGTATAAAGAACACAATAAAGTTTAAATCACAAGAGCAAAATAATATGTGCATAATAAGATAACATTCTTATGAAATTTACATCAGAAAAGTTGTATTTAATGCAGACTATGGGTACATTTTGATCTATTTGACATGATGTGGTTTGGGGTCTTAAAAAGTAAAAGTGTCTACGGGCAGAAAAAGATCTTAAATGTGCCCACATGAAATGTCTCTTTGCCTACTGCAACTGTCTGTAGGGTTGTTGCAGGGGAGAATTTAGCTAGTACATCTGGAGTACATGTGATGGTTTTACTCAAAATGTTAGCTTAGGGCACCTGGGTGGCTCAGTTGGTTAAGCGACTGCCTTCGGCTCAGGTCATGATCCTGGAGTCCCACATCAGGCTACCTGCTCAGCAGGGAGTCTGCTTTGCCCTCTGACCCTATCCCCTTTCATGTGTTCTCTCTCATTCTCTCTCTCTCAAATAAATAAATAAAATCTTTAAAAAAAAAAATGTTAGCTTAGATTAATAGTTATCATTCACTAGGATGTTCTTTTAAATGACCATACATAATGTTAAGTTGAAACATTTTTTCTGATTTTATTTGCAGTAGTCTGTTACTGGTATCAAAAAGATTAAATACTTTCAAAAAAAAGATGAAATACTTTTATAGTTGCTACACAAGTTCATTTAACTAGACGCATCAGTGTGCTTGGATAAATCTGGATTTGGAATAACCGTGGTTAATGGAAGATTTCTAGACATAACACTACAAGACGATTCTAGAAATTGGCACATGAATACAAGATGTTATTCTGCCCCTTTTTGTGGCATCAAAGAACTACACCAAAAAAGGTATAAAAATAAACACCTTTTCTTCAAAGTGCAGGATACTGCCTCACTAAGTTTAATTGAAAAACTAATATCCAGTGCAATTGTCTGTGATAAACTGAGGCTTAAATGATTTGAAAACACTCTGGGAGCAGACAAATCAGATAATCACCATCTTTATGGCTGGGAGGGTTCAGCTGGTGATGACAAGTTGTAAAGATAAAAGCTTATTGCAAAGTCAAGAGCTAAATGTCTAGATTGGGTCGGGGATCAATGTTAAATAATACTCAAAGTGTAAAAAGCAATGAACGCCAAATGATCTCTCATAGTGTTCTGTTTTAACTTTTCAAGATAGTATGCAGAACTTTATTTACTGAAAACTTGTTTCCTTAATGTCATTAGGTGGATACCCTAAAGTGTTAGGGTGTCCTCCACCATCCACCCACTGCCTAGATATTGGATGTGTTCTGTGATTTGTGCCCTGCACTGCAATCAGAGGGCTTCAGCTGCTGCTTTTCAAAACATTTCCAGTTGGGTGACTATTAATAGTTGATAAGAGACAAGAGTTAGATTGTGCCATTTTTTAGGCATCTTCTTTTTTTTTTTTTTTTTTTTTTTTAAGTCAACATGGTATTTGCCTCATGGCCTCACTCTGATCTCAGCAAGAACACTCTCAAAAGAAGTACCTTGTTTTTTCAAAGGCTGTTTGCATGAGTTGATTCAGTGCTCCCTTATCATGGAGTGAAAGCCAAGGGCAAAATATGCGCTTTGGGTTGTGTGAAGGATTCACCCTACACTTAGCTCCACTCACTGTGCTGTTTGTGCCCCCAGGTGACATGTCCAAACTCTCCAACCTCTGTTTGCTTTTTTCTTTTGTTTACAGGAGCGGAGGGCACAGTGTTCCCTAAATCTATAGAGACACCTAATGTCAGGGCAGACCCCTTCAAGGAACTAAGGTAAACTTCTGACTATGGTTTGCATTGATTAGTGGCTATTTCCTTTGGGCAACTGGCTGATGATCCATTTTGAGTGTTTGGAGTGTAACAGAGTCACAACATGAATATACAAACTGGTAGAGATTAGAAAGGGTGTGAAGATGAGCTACATCCAAGAGAAAATTCTCTCTGAGAAGAAGACTGAGGGTTTGGAGGAAGAGGTTGCCAGCCTTGTAATTAGGAGATTCGGGATTCATTCATTCACGGTGTTTGTTTCCTGCTGTGTTTTGTGGTACCCAAAACCTAACCAGTTACACAACTAGTCAGTAATTGGTGCTGATCAGCCCAAAGAAAAGTGGTACCTAAAAGAAACTGAACTCTAAAAACTATACAGATTTTTGCTTGTGTGTGACAAGCTCTCCATCACTTGGACCATTAATGGTACTAGAACTACTTTCTGTGAATATTCCATGTACTGGTGTTAATCTTCAAATATCCATAATTGTGCTGCCTTTATCAGAAAAAGGCTCTGAGATGCTGTGTACTTAGCACCAACAACTAAGGAAAACAAAAAAGAACAATAGGTACAGACAGACAAACAGAGATATGACCTAAAAACCATCCCTGGCTCCAAAAAGGAAACACATAAAAAAACAGTATTTTGAAACAAATATAACTATATGTTTTGCTATATACGATGCAGGTAGGCCAGGAGCCAGAGGGGGCTCCCGCAAAACCCAGCTAAGAGGCTCCTTGGCTTCATGCAGGATAGGAATCAAATGCGAGTTGGGGGAATGAAAGCAGAATTTATTGAATAGCAGGAGGGACAGACAGAAAATAGCAGATGGAATGGAGTTTCTGGGAGACTCAGAAAGGAAAGGAGAATGAGTCTCAATGTCACTTGGGGTTAGGGGCTTATATTGGAAAGGGGTCTAAGGTGTGTGTTCCTCCAGGAATCCAGAGTAGGGTCTGATCAAAGGCAAGTGTCAGGCGAACGGCAGGTGTCATTCCACAAATCACTGAAGGTAGGGAGTGTTGATGCAATCGTTGGCCAAGGTTTGTCAGAAGCTAAAGTCCTGGGACATGTTTGGGATCCGGCTCTTCTTAGACGTTATCGGGTGTTTGGGACCTAGGACAAAACTCAGAGAATGATTAACTTTCTAGCTTCCCCCTTGAAGTGGGAACATAGCTTCTTTGGCTTATTCAGAAACGTGACCTAGCAGAAAAACAGCAGAGATGGAGCCAATTCTAAAGTGGAGTCCCTTCAGCTTCCCTGCCTCGCTTATAGTCATGAACAATTCAGCACATACTGGCTTTCTTCATTTCTTGTAGTTCTTTTAACTAAAACCCATCATAAATCATCATCAATAACATTGCATATTTAATAGTAGACCTCAAACATTAGCAAATGTGTTTGGAAGAGGATAATTCATAGAGAAAGAGAACATTTTCTTATCAAAATCCCATATACAGTGGGCTGTAGTTTTCACATTATACGCCCCATTGCAAGGCTTTACTTTCCCTAGAAGAGTTGCTTCCCTCTCAGGGCTGCTACCTGCCAGAAGTTACCTGACTCTCTGTCAGCCAGATCCTGTGTTTCATATTAGGTACTAAAGCTGGAATCTTTGCAGCAAATCCACCCAAGGACACATGTATTTTAGGACTCGGAGAGCAAGCTCATTCTCTGAGAATGCAGTGAATCTTCATGTGTGTGATGTGAAAGCCCTTTGAAACAAGCTAATATGTGGGCTGGTTCCCTTTCTTTTCACAGACCTCCTTAGGAGCAGGGTTCTTTTTAACACAACTAGTCAGTAATTACTGCTGATCAGTCCAAAAAAAGATGCTGTCTAAAAGAAGCTGACCTAGAGGCGCCTGAGTGCCTCAGTCAGTTAAGCGTTGGACTCTTGATTTGGGCTCAGGTCATGATCTCAGAGTTGTGAAATCAAGCCTCATGTCTGGTTCCATGCTCAGCAGGGAGTCTGCTTTTCCTCTCCCTCTGCTCCTCCCCCTGCTCTCTCTCTTTCTCTCTCTCTCTCAAATAAGTAAGTAAAATCTTTAAAAAAATAAATTTTAAAAAATAA